CTCAGTGCTTTGAGGAGAGGTCTGGAAACGGAGACTGCATACACAGCACTAACGAGTACCGTCTTCTTAGGAAACACAAACTGTCCTCCTACAAGAGCGACTACGGCTACCTCAGCTGTCTCTGTCGATGATAGGCTTCCTCCAGATACTCCAATTCTTAGCCCATACCTCTCCCAGTTTAGCAGTTGAGGTCTGTCTCCTTGTATCAGGAACAGTTTCTTACTGGCTATGTTAACGTCACTCAGACACTCTAAATTATCTGTATGTGTGTGTATCAGGATAATACAAAATAATTATTAATAAAAATAATATAAATACATGCAGGAATTCCCACAGGATTTTGGCATAGTGCTCATGCAGCTTCTTGTCAGTGGACTGTAAAGTTACTCAAAACGTGGGCCTAAGATCCTGTACTAAAGTACAGGGTTATCGGTCAAGATTTATCAAAAATGACTAAGAAAAAAATTCACATTTTTATAATTTTTCCTGATACATATACATGTTCTTATGTCATAAATAATAGAGTAAATGAAAGGGATTGAAAACTTCCGCGTGGGCGTAGCAATAATGCCATTTGATTGTATTGTTGCTAAGCAAAAAAATTGCTGACTAGGCGGTTTGTTACCTTTTGACCACAAAATTCTTGATTTTTTCATTAAAATTAGAATAACTCCAAGAAGAGTGCTCTGATGAAAAAGAAACTCAACAATCAAGGAGTTCAATGTTTTGCACTGTTAATTATTATTTATGTGATATTTTTTAATTAATATTTTGAGTGTTATAGCGCTTTTGCCCATAAAATTGCTGTTTTCTCCCTCTCATGAAGACATTTGTAGCTAAACTCTAAAAAGCTTGTCAGAATATAAAAGAACTTTCAATTACCTATGGAATGATATGAGGCAACACTAGAATAGCAGAAGCATGAAAGCTGTAGAGGCGGAAAGGTGTCAAAAAAGACGCCGACTTTGTGTACCCATAACTGGTCAAAAAACAGCTCTATAGAAACAAAAACCTTGCTATAGGTAGCCATAAACTTTCTATGTGGAACAGAAGATATATCATGAGCAAGCGCTATCTAATAGTCGCACAATATTACTTCGAGATTCTTTCTGCACAACAACTACTGTGGAGGAGATGGGGAATGCAGATAAACACGGACGTTGCCAACCAGGTCACCAGGGGTGACGAAACCCGCATCACTGGGCGGGAACGGTAGTTTCCAATCCCTTTCATTTACTCTATTATCTATGCTTATGTTGTCCATTAAGTTTGAGCCCATTCTAATCAAATTTAGATTTTTTATGAATTTTTAAAGTTGCTCACAAATCTGGCTAACGACCCAAGGCTAGCCTTTGGTCGTTGGCCATATTTCGTCAAAAATGGCTAAGTGACAATTCTCCATTTTTATAATTTTTTCTAAAACACATACATGTTCTTAAGTTGTGTATCAAGTTTGAGCCCATTCCGATCAAAATTAAATTTTTTATGAATTTTTAAAGTTGCTCAAAAATCTGGCCAACGACCCAAGGCTATAAGTCTTTGATCTATGGCCAAATTTTTTCAAAAATGGCTAGGTGAAAATTCTACATTTTTATAATTTTTTCTGATGCATATACACATGTTCTTGTATTGTGTATCAAGTTCGAGCTGATTCCAATTAAATTTGAATTTTTTATAAAATTTTAAAGTTGCTTCAAATGCCATCTACTGTATTGTAGTGCTTGTCAGCTCATGAAGCTCATGCTGTTTAGCTGCTTTGTGGGAAACCCTCATATACATGAAGGAGTGAGTACACATACTCAGTTTTGTTTATACAATGAAATATTTGTGGGTTAAGGAAGTCAATTAATGTCTACTAATGATAACAAATTCCAAAGCTTATAACAATGGTATTAAAATTACTATGTACATGTATCTCTTACCCATTGAAGGAACAATATAATCAAACTGAATACCAATATCTTTGACTGGCTCTCTCTCCTTTAATTCCTTCTCATTATCTTCTACACAAAATAGAAATGTATTTACTAATGATTAATGTACTGATACTCTTACCAACAGTTGTGGTGTCTTTCAATGACTGCAATTCTTCTTTTAGTTGTAATTTCTCTTTTGTCAGTTTAGCAATTACCAAATCATCATCAACAGCTTTAGCTCTAAGTTTCTCGTTCTCTTCTACACAAGAGAAAGTATTATCATACAGTAATACTATGATAGTTTTACCATTAGTTAAAGTTTTCTCCTCTGTCAGTGTGGCTATATAAGTTTCACTATCAACAACTTTAGCTTTAAGTTTCTCATTCTCTTCTAATAAAAACTATACACTATATGGAGCAATACTGATAGTATTACCAGTTGAATTCTCATTCTTTTCCTCTAATTCTGATTTCTCTTCAGTCAGCATCGTTATATTAGCTTTAAGTTTCTCAATCTCTTCTACATAAAATTCAATGTATTATCTCATCATTAGATATACACTAATGTCCTGATGGTATAACCTCACCAGTAATGTTCTTCCATTCTTGTATTGAACTCTTCGGTTTAGAATCATCAACACTAGCAGGAGGAGGAGGAGTCTTAGTGTAAGTATCATCAGTAACATCACCTAACCAATACACATATACACTATTAACAATAATTAACAATCATGTCATAATGTGTCATTACTAATTAAATGTGTCAGATATATCACCTCTTAATGTAAAGTTTATTCACAAATCACAAAATAATAAACACACACACACAGTAGAGGACTATACCTTGCTGACTAGCCTCAAGGAGTGCTTCCTGCAGTGAGGTTTTATTTACTTCAAATACTCTTAACTCGTGTTGCAGTACTTGTATGTACTGCTGCTGTTGTACTTCCTTTTCTGTTGGATAGACTATAGAACAACGATCTTGCCACCATTGTCTTGTTTTAAGGAATGATTGATATTTGTGTTGATAGGCCTCTTTAGTAAGATCATTAGAATCTAGTACTTCACTTACTGTCCATTGACCTTTAGTGAGAACTGAGAGAGAGAGAGAGAGAGAGAGAGAGAGAGAGAGAGAGAGAGTGAGAGAGTGAGAGAGTGAGAGAGAGAGAGAGAGAGAGGGGGAGGAGAGAGAGAGAGGGGGGGAGAGAGAGAGAGAGAGAGAGAGAGAGAGAGAGAGAGAGAGAGAGAGAGAGAGAGAGAGAGAGAGAGAGAGAGAGAGAGAG